GTTCACGGATGTTTTTGCGAAAAGGAATGCTATTAACTCCTAATTAAATGGATACTTCTTCGATGCCATACAAGTTTTTATGACTTCATCAAACATGATGCTTCGCTGGCCGGGTCTTGTGAAAGGACAAACAGTTTGCCTCCTACTCCTCTAAAAGTCCACATAGCCCCTTATATGTACGCAAATGTGTGGCTGAAACATGTAGAAAAAATCTAAGGAGATTATGCGTATTGCAACACTAAGCTATTTACATACAATCAAAATCGCACGATTTCTACACTTTCAACATTCACTCTGCCAAAACTTTCCCTAGATAATTTTAACACCAACATTGCCGATCGTGCTCAGCTTAGTAATAACCATAGTTGAAAAGAGGAATGAAAAGTAAAGAAGGGATAGAAAGAAAGATAAGAAGCTGTATTATGAAAATAAAAGCACGACTTACTGTTCGGGTTCCCAAACAAGCGGCAAATCTGCTAACAATTCACTGGCTTGCAATGATTCTTTCTCTAACATGCTCGTAGAGATCTCGATCGTGCTCACCAGCTGATTCTTAGGAACACCTCTTTTAAATAGTTCCGCGTAAGACTGATTACGGATGTTGTGACAGGATACAAGTCGCCCCTATGAAAAAGGATGAGAATGTGAACAGAGGATACGCTGTGATATTCACCTTTGCCTTTCCAGATGCTTGTATCAAACCTTCAATAATCTTGCTCACTTTGGCACGCCGATCCATCACGAGATCATGTTCTTCTTTCAGCCGTTTTATGGCATTTTCAGTTATCTATAAAAGTACCATAACATTATAAATGATTGAAAAGAAGACATACAAACCTCTCGATTTGCCTTGAATGCTTGCATACGTTTAACATCACTTTCGTCGATTGCTTCATTGCAGCTTTGTAAATTGCTCAAAACATCCTCCAACTGCTTCGACTTCCTATCCAGATCTATTATCTAAATGGCAGTAACAAGTGGAAAAAGAAGTAATTCCAAAAAGTCTGAAGTTGCATTACAATCATGTAAGCAGAAGGATTGAGGAGGGGAAAAAAGCAGGCTGAAACGGTGAGCGATACTGAAAAATTTATCAAGAGATACGAAACTAAATTATATAGTAGTTGACATTATAAAACGCGTGGTTACAGTGATAACAAAATTAACGCGATTTGCGTAAGCACTTATCTACAAATTTTAAAAAAATTGAAAAGCTGAAATTTTATGCTAAAAAAGCTCCAAGTTGAGAAACATGTCACATGACATCAACAATGGATCAAACTAGAAAAGTGAGGCGTACCGCTTGGGTGAATTCATAGTGAAGCTCATCTGCAAGTTTCTTTTCCTGATGAACAGCATCGAAAAGTCGAGCGGCACGATCAACGGCTGTTTGACAAATGCGAAGTCGTTCCAGACCAAGCCGCAACTCCCAGTCTGTGAATAGAATTTACCTGATGAATAAGTTGATAGTAGCGCTAGTTGTGTAGCTGCAGAACACACACCAAATCCGATGCATTACATCATTCAGTGAAGGGCGTGAACTGGACGTCAAAGATAAGTGTTTACTCGAACTTTATTTACTTTAACAAACGTTACTAATGTCACTTCTGTGTAGGTGTTTACTTGAACTTTACATAACAAACGCTACTTATGCCAGTGTCAACCCCATTTC